AAAATTAATTAGACTAATCCATGGATCATTGGCTACTATCTCTGGAAGCTAAAATGGAACCTCCCTGTTCAGAGGTGGTCTACTAGATTCTGGGGACAAACAACTGGGAAGGGCTGTTGCCTCCATGCCTTGCGTGTGACCTTCGTGGCTTTCCCCTGTCGGAAACTGAAAAGTACTGGGTTCGATGCATGGAGAACCCGGACTACGACATGCGTTCAGACGCGTTTATTGTACTTCACAACAAAGACACACAAACGGCCCTGCAAGGCCAACTATATACACTCCACCTGGGACACCTCTGTCCCCATTGGAGGGTTTAAATATCCCGCCAAAGGTGCTATTGGTGGACTCCCGGGGGATTAGGATCCTAGGTCCCCTTTGTCTTTGGGACCAAGCTCTTCTTATATTTATACATTTGTTTAAAAACAATAAATCAATTAATTAATCTACAAGTTTGTTTAAATTAAATTACTTATTTAAGAGACAGAAGATTCTTTGAATATATATATATATACAGCCTACAAATCCTCACCTTCCTTCTCACATTTGATGGAAAGATGTTTCCAGATGTCAAATAGTAAGCAGGGCTAACGGGGGGAGGGGCAGCATAGAGGTTTATAAAAGGATGCATGGGGCAGAGGGAGTGGACAGAGAGATCTTTTCTCACTCTCCTGAAATAGTAGAATTCTGGGGTACCCGATGAAGTTGATAGTGATAGATTCAGGAGGGACTGAAGGAAATACTTCTTTGCTGAATGAGTGATTCAAATGCAGAGTTCACCGCCAGAGGATGTAATGATGGCCACAGGCACAGACAGCTTTAAAGGGAATTGGATGTATTCATGGAGAAGAAGTCAATCAGTAGCCGCTAGCCATGGTGACTCAAGGGAACCTCCATGTTCACAGGCAGTCAGCCTCTGAAACCCAGTGCCAGGAGGCAACCTCAGGGGAAGGCCTCGGCCTCTGTGCCCTGTTGCTGGCCCTCCAGTGGAACTGGTTGGCTACGAGGCTGGACTAGATGGATCCTCACTGGTCTGATCTAGCAGGGCTTCTCTAATGTTATGATGTCCAGCTAGCAACACCATCTAGTAAACAGCATGGGGGGCTTCAAAGCCAATGCACCTCCAGGATCTGCTTGGGGCTGATGGCAACCTACCAGATCCCAAAATCCTAGACACCCTTTTGCCATGCTCTTTTCTTGCCCCGTCCTGTCGCTGCCCACTCTCTCCAGGCTCCCATTTCGCCTGCTCTGGCCCACCCGGGACATCCACTACTTCTCAGATCCCTGTGGTATCTTGTGGCTTATGTCCTTCAGGCCTAAACACAGCGGGGGTGTGTGTGGAGGATTTCCAGCTGGAGAAACTGCAGAAGGTCCCCAATCCACATTGGTTGCTTTTTGGCAGCGATGTGTGCTGATGTGATTTCTTCTTGATATTTGTTCATAATTTTGTAACCGGGTTCGCTTCTCTGCTTTTTGTGGCCCATTTGTTGCAAATATTGTACACGATGCATATCACACAGGCATAATTCCAGTTTCACAGAGGCACAGATTGTGCGGGGGAAATGCAGACTTGTACGGGAAGTCCGATAATTCCTGTGAAGGAGCAGCCACACCGAAACAGTAATTTGAGGGCTGAAACTAGGGTTGCCAGCTCCCAGGTGGGGCCTGGAGATCTCCCACTTTTACAACTGACCTCCAGCTGACAGAGATCTGCTCCCCTGGAGAAAATGGCTGCTTTGAAGGGTGGACTCTATGGCATTGGACCATGCTGAGGCCCCTCCCCTCCCTAAACCCCGCCCTCCCCAGGCTCCACCCCCAAAGTCTCCAGGTATTTTCCAACCCAGACCTGGCAACCCTAGCTGAAACAGCAAAGAGGAGGCCCTGTTTTTGAGGGTCAAAAGAAGCAGAGTTCTTTGGGTGGGCTGTAGTCTCTGGAGGCCGAGGTCAGGCCTGGCTGGGAAGAAGCAGGTCTCCAAGGCACCAGAAGGCTCTTCTGTCTGTCTGCTGCCTGGGGATTGAGCAACCCAGTTCTCCCCTGAAGTCATTTCTCCCTTCCTCCCCCCAGCCTCCGTCCTTCCAGAGAAAGAAGGAACTTCTGCGCTGCCCTCCCCTTTCCCCCAAATGCCCCAGCCCTGAAGCAGCCTCACAACTGCCGAGAGACCAGCGGAAGGCCCTGGAGATCAGGTAAGGCTGCTGCTGGAAGGGGCTGGGGAGGTCGTAGGTGTGGGTTAGGGTTTCGATTCTGTTTCCTTTGGAACCGCGGGGCAAAGCGAGCCGGGGAAACGTCTCTTCCGGGGCTCTTGGTTACAGCCCAAACACCCCCAGGGCAAAATGTGGCAACATTTCAGACTCTAGATGTGGCTGCTGAATATTTTGAAACCCAGCTTTTGACATTTGGGTTGCAGAGGGTAGAGAGGGGGACAATCAGACCAGAGGGAGGGAGGGACCATCAGAGAGAGGGGCAGGTGGACCAAGCCCTGGGAATGATGGTGGCTCTGTGAAAGGTGGTTCAGGATGCTCAACACACATCCCTCTTCAGAACATGCCTCCCCCCAAAAAAAAAAATTTCAGGGAAGGCATGGCCACCGAACTAATTTGGGCATGCGGTGGGGCGGAACCACCAGGTACGGGGCACAGCAGAGCTCCGTGGCTGGGGTCCAGTTCGTGGCTGGGGTGCCTCCAAGGCCAAGGAGGTGGCTTCAGATCTCTTTCTGCTCCCAGCACCTGCCTTTCTCAAGACGTTTGCCATCGTTTGGCTCCCCTGTTGCCCAGGGCGGTTCTCAGAGACTTCAGCCTTTGGTAGTCTGTTATTTCTTTTTATGACTAGACTTCAGTCCAGAATCTGCCCTGACGGCTATGTCGTGGGGGGAGAGGTAGGGAACCAGTTGCCTGACCTGGTGAAGATGACCTGGCAACATTTGTGACTTGGGTCTCCATTGATAATGAGGCATCCAAGATCGTGCCCAAGGTCTTCACTGTTGGCACTGGTGTTAACAGTGACCCATCAAAAGCTGGGAGTTGGATCCCTATTCCCAGCCCCCCTCGACCCAGGCACAGGACCTCCGTCTTAGCTGGATTTAGCTTCAGTCAGCTCTGCTTTTAACCACCACCAAGCCATGGCTTCCAAACCCTCAGCTAAAGTATCTGGGGCAGAGTCCGGTCAGCCATCCTTCAACGGATACCACTGGGTGAAATCTGCAATGTTCCCTCTCAGTGAGCAAAAATTCTACTTTGTAAGCTACTGGCATTAAAGTTGTGAGCGAGCGATTTGGCTGCTGCATAAATCAGTTTGCTCTGGAGCCATCCTTCCTGAGCGAAGGCAAAAATGTGTGAGCCGGAGGCTAAAAAACTGTGAGCTGGCTCACACTAACTCAGCTTAGAGGGAACAGTGGTCATCTGCAAACTGATGACAACCCAGCCTGAAACTCTGGACCAGCTGGTGCGTATACATGGTACATTTCCCTGCCTGCTCACTTGTGCATGCTTTGCCACCCATGGGTCCAGAGCATCCAGTGCACACATTGCCCAGTGTCATCAAGGAAAGGGCTGCAGGCATTACAGATGGCTGTGAGCACGGGTAGAGGATAGAGGGAGGGCATATGAGCAGGGCAGGGGAAGGATGCACAGGCAGGTAGTGAGAAGACACATGAGTGGGTGTGTGGGAAGGAGGCCCCTGGGAACTCTCTGCCCAGCCAAAGCCCCCCCCCCCGCGCATGATCTGGAACCAGCCCTAGCCCACCATCTCCCTCCTGTCCACACCTAGTCTTGGAAGGGATGCAAAGGTCCAGGGGTGATCCAGCTCTCCCTCCACACTCATCAGTTTTTGCTTCTCCAGGATGCGGGGGCTACTGGCTACGCTGCTGTTCCTGCATCTCAGGCATCCCTTGGAGGCTGCCTGCCCTCCAGACAACCTGATTACCCAAACCAGCTCCTCGGGTGCTCTGAGCTGGGAGCGGCTGGATGCCTCAAAGACCTATGTGAACCTCAGCGGCACAAACGTCACTAGGATCCATGGAATTCCCGGCCGGAATAGCTCACTGGAGGAGATGGATCTGTCCCACAACTGCCTCAGCAGTCTGCCCGTGGGGTTCCTCAATCACACCACGAAGCTGAAGCGTCTCTTCCTTCAAAGCAACCGTCTCCGTCAGCTCCCGCCTGCATTCTTTGAGGAAACATGCCACCTGAAGGAACTGAGGCTAGAGGGAAACCCGCTGCCCTCTGTGCCCTCCAGCCTGTTCCGTCTCTGCCTGGAGACCCTCAGCGTGGACTGCCACTGTGCCATGACCAGGAGCATCTCCGACTATTGCCAGCGGCGCAACTGCACACAGAGCATCTTGTGCCAGTGTTCCTCCCCTCAGGGCTTCCTCAACGTCACGGACTTCCATGCCCGGCAGTGTCAAGGCTTGTCCGTAGCCGTGTACGCTGCCCTTGCGGTCTCCACCCTGGCTCTGCTACTGGGAGCTGTTGTGGCATACGTCCTGATCCGGAGGAGGAAGGGGGCCACCATGAGCCAGGAGAAATGGGAGCCCAGCACATCCAACGGAGCCCCGAGGTACATCAGCCACACCAGCCCGCAGGTCGACCTGGCGCAGGGCACGGGCAGCCATGCTGATTATGAGAACGTCTTCATTGGCCAGCCCCAGGAGGCCGGAGGAGGGCACAAGGAGCGGTACAGCAGGAAGCAACCCAAGAGCAGCAGGTGAGTGATGGACCAGCGCCACTGAGGGGACTCATGTACAAAGAGGCATTGCTCCGAGGCTGGAGACTTGCAGCCCCACATCAGATGCAGAGGGGGGGGGTTGAACCCACAGCAAAGAAGATTCCCACCCACCCCTAAACCACGGCCTGCAGGAAGTGATCCATGCTTGGCATGTCTGCTGCAGAACTGCCACGCCCTAGTGCGGCCAGGTCCCTCCTGGCAACTGAGGGATTGGGGGGGGACTTACCTGGAGAAAGAGAAAGGCCTAGGCATGGTCAGCAGTGTTGCACAGGAAGTGACATCATCCCACCAGCAACGTCCAGGCCAACACTCTGGCATTTAGGCAAAAACTCTATGGTAAAAACCAGCTTGCCCAAATTGCAGAGCGTCAGCTGGACGTCATGGGTGTGATGACGTCACTTCCTGTGCGACGCTGGTGACCAGCCCTGGACCCTTCTCTTTCTCCAGGTAAGCCCCACCACCAGTCAGCAGATCAGCAGCTGGAGGGCAGGGCCTGTTGATGGGGGGGGACCCCTGCCTCCACCTGGGGGCCTGGCAACCCTTCCACACATGCACGGACAAGGATTCTGGAGCCCCTTCAAGGCTGCACCAAAAATGACAGCCTGGTAGCCGTGGGCGACACTTGGCTTGTCCCTCGTCTACTTTGGAAGGGGCCTGCTAATCCCTGGGGTGCCCTGGGAGCAGGGTTGCCCTCTCTGGGTGGGGAAATATCTGGAGGTTTTTTTGGGGGGGAGCCTTGGAGAGGGAGGGGTTTGTGGTGGTTTAGCAGGGTACCATGCCTGACAGTCTGCCCTCCAAATAGGGTTGACAGGTCCTACCTCTTGCCGAGTGGGGGAGTCCCAGGCCCCTCCTGGGATCTTCTGCTGCGGTGCGATAACATCAGAAGTGACATCATAGTGTTGCCAGCGTTGGGGGGTGATGCTCTAGTTTTTGGGCAAAACTCTATGGGTTTTGGGTTTTTTAACTTCAAAACCATAGTTTGCCCACAAACTAGAGTGTCACCCCCCAACATCAGCAATGTGATGACGTCACTTCCGGGTGATGTCATCATGACAGGGACGTCACTCAGCCATGTGCCTGTTCAGGGGTGGGGCTTCCCCCAGTGGCTAGCTGGCCGGTGGTGGGCTGGAGCCTTGGAAATCGGGTGAGCCCCCACCCCAACCACGGGTCTGGGGACCCTGCCTCCAAGGCAGCCGTTTTCTCCAGGGGAACTCATCCCTGTAGTCTGCAGGCCAGTTGTAATTCTGGACGGTTTCCCGGCCCCACCTGGAGCTTGGTAAGCCTACTTGAGGAGCCAGTTTGCTCCCTACTGGGACAGACCTGGGGAAAATTAGGATTAGGGGAGGGTGTTTGGGCACCGAGTTTTGGCTGCTTACTCAGAGTGCAAAAGTGTCTGAAACTGGAGCAGCCAGTCTTCTCCAGAGAAAAACCTGAACTTGTGTGTGCGTGCATGCGGGGGGGGGGGGGGGAGTAGAAGAAGAAGAGATTGGATTTATACCCCGCCCTTCACTTGGAGTCTCAGAGCGGTTTACAAACTCCTTTCCCTTCCCCTCCCCACAACAGACACCCTGTGAGGTGGGTGGGGCTGAGAGAACTCTGACACAAACTGCTCTTTTTCGAGGACAGCTGTGCCAGAGCTTGTGACTGACCCAAGGTCACATCAGCAGGTGCGAGTGGAGGAGTGGGGAATCAAGCCCGGTTCTCCCAGATTAGAGTCCGCACACTTAACCACTACACCAAACCCCAGCAGAGAGGTGCCAGGACCTTGCCCCTTGGGGACCACACCATGAATCAGCACGGGCTCGGCTTTGTGTAGCTTGTGTGCTCTTGGGCTTGTGTTTGGAAGCACCCTAACTGAAGGTAGGATCGAGGGCCATACTCCGGAGGGCACCCCCCCCCCCCTCAACCAGCACAAGCACAACCTTCACTTCTTAGCTGGTGACTTCACTCGCTTCCTCTTTGGCAATCTCCCCCCCTCTCTCTTTCTCTTTCTCTGCGCTTTCAGCTGACCAATGGGGAAAGATGGGTGGGGGATTTCCCATGTAGCAGCCCAGCTGCTTCTTCCAGGCATCCCCTTCTGTGAGCAGAAGTGCGCTTGCACCAGAGTGAGAAGAGGGACAGTCTAGTGTCTGGAGCAGTGAGGTTCCCATCAAGGCGGGGTGGTGGTGGTGGTGGTCACTGAACCTCTGACTGCTGCAGGGATGTGCCAAAAACAGTTAGGAAGTACATTTAGCTTATAATGCTCATTTTCTCTTCCTCATTCTGAGTTGCAGCAAAAAAACGAATTAAAAAAAATTAGGAAGAATCTCTTCTTCCTGCTCCGTGTGTGAAATGAAAGAGGCCAAGCCACAGCTTCCTGGAGGAAGAATGGGCCACAGCTGTGACTGATAGACACTTTGCACATGCTCAGGGGCCAGTGTTGGAGAGCCACTCACCAGCATTTCCAGCTTCTGCCCCGGAGGAAAACTCCAAGGGCTGCCTGGCAGAGCCAAGACTCCAGCAGGGGATCTTGCAGACTCCCTTTGGATGCAATTTTGCACACAAACTATCTCCCGTCCCCCAGTTGACTGTCCTGTTTCCAAACAGGGGCACTCCTTTTAGCAGTTTTTTTTTTTCTTCATGGAGGGGGCTGCAAAAGGGGTGAAGTCTATTTCCCATGTTTATGCTCCCCTGACCTGGAAGGCCCAGGCTAGCCCAGTCTTGTCAGATATTGGAAGCTAAGGCAGGGTCAGCCTTGACTAGTACTTGGATGGGAGACCTCCAAGGAAGTCCAGGGTTGCTACGCAGAGGCAGGCAAAGGCAAACCACCTCTGTTCGTCTCTTGCCCTTGAAAACCCCAATGGGGTTGCCATGAGTCAGCACAGATTGTCCACCACCACATCCTCCCCTTCCTCCAAGGGCCTCAAGGGTGGGGTATGTGGCTCTGGCTTCCATATTTTGTCCTCACAACAACCCTGTGAAGTAGGCCAGGATGAGAAAAAGTGACTGGTCCAAGGTCACCCAGAGAGATCAGTTTGCTCAGTGGCAGGAATGATCAGATCTGTGGCCACTGGGCATAGTCCTCCCCTCTAAAAAAACATTAGTGGACACCTACCACCACCACTATGACTACTGCTGCTGTTGTTGTTAATGAATATTTACAACATTCCATTATAATCAAAGTTATAAGCAGGGCTTTTTTTGTAGAAAAAGCCCAGCAGGAACTCATTAGCATAATAGCCCACACCCAACAGCACAGCTCATTAGCATATTAGGCCACACCCCCATGTTACCAGAAGTGTGGTCATCCAGCCACACCCACCTTTTGCTTCTTATTCTGTTTACTTTGTTTATTGTCAAAACCCAGGGCCTTTTTTTGGAGCAGGAACTCCTTTGCATGTTAGGCCACACACCCCTAATGTAGCCAATCCTAATGAGTTTCTGCTGTTGGGTGTGGCCTATTATGCTAATTAGTTCCGGCTGGGCGTGGCCAACTCGGGAGCCAGCCGGAACTCCATTCCTGCCCAAAAATAGCCCTGGTTATAAGAATGTAAATGCATGACCAAAGATGCAGGAGAGGGCAGAAAAAGAAGAAGAAGAGATTGGATTTATACCCTGCCCTTCACTACTCAAGGGAGTCCCAGAGCGGCTTACAAACTCCTTTCCCTTCCCCTCCCCACAACAGACACCCTTTGAGGTAGGTGGGGCTGAGAGAGCTCTTGACAGAAACTGCTCTTTTTCAAGGACAGCTCTTATCAGAACTAAGGCTTGCCCAAGGTCATCCAGCCAGGTGCAAGTGGAGGAGTGGGGAATCAAACCCGGTTCTCCCAGATTAGAGTTCGCGCACTTAACCACTACACCAAACGCTGCAGCTTCAGACTCTTGGGATGTCATCACTGCACAGCCACCTTGCATTGGCTCTGTGGCGGAACATGCCTGCTCCGGCCTGCGGGCCCTGTTCCGCCCTGCCCTCCTGGGTTTTCCAAACACCTGGAGAGGCTTTTCTTTCTCTCTCGGGTAGCTTGCTTCCACCACCTGACCTTTGTAAGGAATTGCCTGCTGGGAGAGTCAGGACTCCCAGCTTCCATTCCAAGTTCTGAGGCCTTGCCTCTGTGTCTCCTGCTGCCCAGCACCTGGTCACCATGGGGGCCATTTACTTCCTTGCGCATCCCTGGAGGAATAGCCACTTGCCAACTGCCTTCCTTCCCCTTGGCGCTCCTTTTAAAATAGTGTGTCCAATACAGTGGAGGTCTATGTGGTACAGAGAACCACGGCCAGCATCAAAACTTATAAGGTATTTATTAAAAAGAGAATGTTCACAAGCATACTTTTAGTACAGAACCAGACTGAGCAAGGGAGTCAAAAGAAATGGGTAAAACGCAGTTCCTCTGTCCCTCTCTCCATACATGCCCCATCAGATGTTACAATACAGGACAGGCTCCTTAGTTTAGGAAGTTTCAGATCTCTACAGAGTTGCAATTACCTTGACATTTCCTCCAGCTCTTCAGGCCAGCACATGGTTAACTAAAACAAGACAGGCTCTGGTGTGAATACAATAGGAAAAATAAGCTCACCAAAGAAAATCACTCTTCTATAATTTTAACACACTTAGTTGTACTTATATCACAAATTTCCTGTATTAGACAACATTTATTCTTGTGTGAAGTGCATTTCATGGAAATAAGCAAAGCCAGTAAATAGTAACATCTGGGATAAGGGGAATTAAAGCGAAATTATTTTGGCTTATTCTGAATTTTTTAAAAAAGATTAGATTCTTCTTTGCCTATCTGGGATTTTCATTCGAAAAGACCTTGATTAGGAATTATAACACTTGGATTGGATTCCATGGTTTAATGACTGGAAGTAGATGACTAAGTATTTAAAAATACATATATAGTTCCATATATTCCCGTTCGCACATGGTCTGCCTCTCTCCCCTCTCAACTCACTGGCTGCCTTTCTTCACCTTAACCCCCTCTTTCTTTTTAAACTTTTTATTATCATCATTAGCAATGCCTGGATTTTGTCCAGTCTGAAAACACATTATCTCATTTGGAGACATCCCACTTTACAGTTCTAACAGATGAGCTTTCATGAGTCACTGCTCACTTCTTCAGATATAGCTAGAATGTGAGTCCATGTGTCCTTGGAGAGTGAAGTGATTTCAGGTGCCAAATAACAATAGCAGCCACTGGTAAAGAGAGAAGAAACCTAGGTCTCAATTCAGCCCAGGAGGATGCATTGAGCTTCATTATCAGTTGCAATTAATCTGTCTCTCTTTCTAATCTCCCTTTAAAATTCCTTTGTAAGAGAACTACTACTCTTAGGCCAGCAACTCAATGTCCTGGAAGGTTAAAATGTCCCCCCCCCCCGGTTTTTTAATTTTGTGATTTCTTATAGCTGTAAAAAGAGTAAGAGTCCAGTAGCACCTTGAAGACTAACAGAATTTGTGGCAGGGTATGAGCTTTCGTGAATCACTGCTCACTTCTTCAGACTTATGTCCATTTATGCTTTACATCCTCCTGGACAAAATCCTCCTGGACCAAACTGAGACCTAGGTTTCCTGTCTCATTACCAATGATGATGTCTCCACGCCTACTACCCTTCTGCATATCACACCTAATCCAATCACACCTGCTATTGCCATGCGGCATCTGAAATATCTTTATATAGTTTATATCTCCAGTACCTCGTATTAACATTTTATGGCACACATGGTCCAGTCCAGCAAAGTGACATTTGTGTCAGATCCAGCCCTTGTAACAGATGAGTTTGACACCTGTGTATTGGAGCATTGGTTCCGACTGGAATTTTGAACTCCACAACACATGGGAGATGCTACTCTGAAAAAGAAGATGGAAACATATTTATATGCCTAGGATACATGTCATCGCATAACTTCCAGTTGCTGATTTGTTATATAAATTTGTCATATTGAGAACTTCGGAACCAGTAGTGTTACATTGTAACCTTGATTTATAGTTCATGATTGTTGCATTTTGAGAGTTTGGGAACTTTATGTGTTACTTTGTAACTCTGGCTCAAAGCATTTGACTTTGTATTAAATACTTTTGGAGTTGTTATAAGAAAACTTTGATAACGATATATATTAAGAATATACACTCTGGTGGTATTTCAAAATATTTTATCTAAAGGCATTGATTTAAGACTTGTAAACTGGCTGGTGACTTTTGGCGGGGCACGTTGGTAGCAATCTGAACCTGCCAAGGCTCAAGGCTTTTGTTTTGTTTTTGTCTTCAGGTCACACCGGAAAGTCCAGAAAGATGAACCCCCCCAGGGAGAACAGGCCATCTATGCCAACACTCAGGAGCTGTACTATAATTACGCTGGGACCCCGGCCCCTCCGGATGAAGACCTCTATGTCATGCCAGACCAGTGAATCTCCCCTCCCCCCCACTGTCTCGCAATCGTCTCCTGTTAACTTTAATTACATTGTGAAACTTTGCTTTCAGTTGGGGAGCTCATATCAAGAGCGCTGAAGCCCCCCTCCCATCTTAGGACTCAGAGAGACAAGCAGCCTTCTTCAGTTGCTGTGGGCCGACATTCCTCTCCTCTTAATTTTATGGCAACATGCATTACATTTCTTTCATTCCTTCTGAAAGGAATTGCATTCCTTCATTTCATTCTCTTGTGGAGAATGATCCTTCCTTCCAGCTCTCAAATCCCTCCCCGCATACACAAACTGTAAGCTCTAGGCAACACAAGAGCCCCGCTGGATCAGACTAGTGGTCCATCTAGCCCAGCATCCTGTGTCACACAGTGGCCTTCCAGTGACTTCAGAGACCAACAACAGAGCACAGAGGCCAAGGCTTTCCCTGACATAGCCGACTTCAGTGCCTCTGAATTCAGAGGCTTAGTGCCTTTGAATGTGGAGGTTTCCTTTAGCCACCATGGCTAGTAGCAGGGGTCATTTTTTTCCTCCACAAAGATAGTTCCAGGTGGTCAGCCATGTTGGTCTGAAGCAGTAAACAAATGTAGAGTCCAGTGGCACCTTTAAGACCAACAAAGGTTTTTCTGAGGAAAATACAATCTTTGAACAATCTTCCAGAGAATACTATTTTAGCCACCGTGGATGTGGAATCTCTGTATGCCAGCATCCCACACAAAGATGGATTACAAGCCATAAGGAATATGATTTCTGACAACACAGCTGACTTTGCCACCAAACTGAGCCATTTTGTTCTCACCCGCAACCACTTCAGATTTGGTGACAACCTGTTCTTCCAGATCAATGGTACAGCCCTGGGCACCCGCATGGCCCCACAGTATGCTAACATCTTTATGGCTGACTTGGAGCAATGCTTCCTAAACTCCCACCCACTCATACCTTTCTTATACTTGCGTTACATTGATGACAATTTTATTGTCTGGACACGTGCATTCCACCAGGCATTCAACAATTTTCACCCCACCATCAACCTGACAATGAACCAATCCACGCAAGAAATACATTTTCTGGACACTACTGTAAAAGTACACAATGGACGCATAGACACCCCCTTATACTGGAAGCCTACTGATCAACAAACATACCTACATGCATCCAGCTACCATCCTAAAGATACCAAATGAACCATTGTATACAGCCAGGCTCTACACTACAGCCGCGTCTGTTCCAATCCTACAGAAAGAGATTCCTGAGGGATCTACAACATACCTTTTTGGAACTAAGGTATCCACCTGATGAAGTCAGGAAACAGATTAACAAAGCCAGAATGATACCCGGAGAAAACCTGTTACAAGACAGGCCCCAAAGAGATAATAACAGAACACCACTAGTGGTCACATACAGCTCTCAGCTCAAAACAGTACAACACATCATCAGTGACTTACAACCCCTACTGAATAATGACAGCTCTCTTTCACAAGTACTGGGGGGCAAACCTTTTCTTGCTCACAGACAACTCCTCACCCACACAATAATGCAACATCTAATTTGAACATGGACGCTGGGATCCTTGCAATGGGACGCTTGCAATAAACCCAGATGCCGACTTTGCTGCCATATACACCCAGACAACACAATTACTGTACCTAATATCATTAACTATACCATCAGAGGCTCATTCAGTTGCTCATCTTCTAACATTATGTATGCCATTAAATGCCAGCAATGCTGTTCAGTTCTCTACATAGGACAAACAGAACAAACCCTACCCCAGAGGATAAATGGATACTAATCAGGAATCACAAGACTGAGAAACCTGTAGGAGAACACTTCAGCCTTCCAAGACATTCAGTGAATGACCTCAAAATAGCTGTTTTATTATAAAGGAACTTCAGGAACAGAATGGAAAGGGAAATTGCCAAATTACAAGTTATTCCAACACTTGGAACATAAACCTCCTCAGGACTCAACAGGGATATTGGTTTCTTATCTCATTATAGATGCTAACTCATTCAGTCCTCACATATGTATTGTCAGCAAGAAGGACTATACTCTGTATTTTAGTGTATTTCTTTTTCAGAATAGTATATTAGAATACTGAAACTAATGCAAGGAATATTGGGATGTTTTGCTGACATACCACTACACCCATTTTTTTTTTTTAAAATGCTGTTAAA